GATCGATCGCGCGACCGGTCGCTAGCGACTGGCGACCAGTCGCGCGATCGGTCGCGCGACCGGTCGTGGACTATGAAAGATGCCAACCGGGATTGATCAACACCAAAAGGTTTCAACCACTAGTCTACAGTGAGATCCTCTCGTACTGCACCTCTGATTACTGAAATCGGATTTGAGTGTTTTTCATTAATTCCTATATCAGAAGTAGCAGCGACTTAGTTACGTACCATTAATTCTGACAATTCAGTCACTTATTTGACGTATTTCGAATACAGGGCGCATCATAAGCTGGTCATGCGTATTTGGAGTAATGGATATGCCGGAAGTAGTGAAACGACCGGAACTTGTTGTTCATAAGGTCTATCTCGACACTGAACCAGCAGCTTTCATATGTTTACTCAAGGTTTGTAACTCGTGTAACTAGAGTTTACCTGATTATTACGAAATTCCTAATGCTCTAGAATGTTGCTGATAGCCCACCTGAAATCTACCCTTCTGCCATTCCACTCCATCAACCTGGTGCCCTCACATCCTGCTTACTGTTATGTTATACAACAGCATGCTACAGCCACATTTCAGAACATTCCACATGAGCGTGGATAGAGGTCCGATGTTTGCCTCGAGCTCCTCGCATTTCGCACGCACGTTTCCTTCCCCGTTTCTTCCCAGCCATTCTTGAGTCCTGCTTTCTAGAACACTGAACTCTGACCCCTAAAAAAGTCTCCCAGTAATCGGGAGTAATCGGGGAGGGGTCAGGTGGATCGGGCAGCTAGCGAGCGGGCAGCTAGCGTCGGCACCACTACCGGGCGAGCTTGGATCTCTGGGCTGGAGTACCTTCTTGCTGTACGAGTGGTTTCAGGAATTGAGTCAGACCATTGATTCATTACGTCCATCAGTAGTATGCCCTTTGTGCACAAGTCCTTGTCAATTTTCACGCCGGCACCGACGAAACCATGAGCGTTCAACCACTGCCAGCGCTCCCTCAAAAGACATTTTATTTCAGTCATTCCGCTGTTCTTTCAGTAACTTTTTTGTGAGTGATTGCAATTTCAATCTTCATCGCTCGAATGTGATCATTTTACAAATTGTCAGAGCGCCCCACCGGCAGCCTCGATAATTCCTGCTTCTTTGCCGTCTTCTCGATGGGTTCTCAAAATCGCGATCGATTCGCAAACGGACCTTTCTATTAGTGATTTCTTTAAAAACGCTAGTTTTTTTTCTGAGATTTCTTGGTTTGTTTTTGACTGATTCTTCTTCTTTGCATCCTGATTCTTCTTCTGTGCATCGGATTAGAGCCTTCTCTATGAATATTGTAGGAACCACAAGAAGTTTCATAATGCCCTTCCGCCTCTCGCATGCGAAGGATCGCAAGTGACGAGCCTCAGCCATCTGAGGGATATTGAAAATTTCACTTCAGCAACAATGCATATTGCGAGAAATTATTCCAATGCAACTAATTAATAGAGGGTAGAGTGGATTTGATGAATCACTTCTACCTCACAAAGTTTTGAATTTTGACCCCAATAATTTTGGAACACCTTGTGTATAAAGCGCTACGACCGCAGGATTCACTATAAGCTAAAGAAGCTCCTGTAGAGGATAAGTCAGGTTTGGGATGGATGAGGAATCAAACGGTATGTATAATCAGGGCCATGTTGACTTCGCGGAGCACCGTCTCTGGCACGCGAGGCATACTCCGAGATGCACGATACAAATTCAGTCAAAATGGTTTCAGAACAGCCCAGATCCCGAAAAATGGGCAAAGGTGAGCAGAGGGTCACGGAATTAGACCAAGTAGGCCCGAGGGTACAGTACAAGGTAGGCGGCTCTTACTACATGAATTCATAAATCCATCCCAGCGTAGCAGGAAAAGCAGACAGCTTGAAGTAAGACGCACATCATTAGCGCTGGGACGAAGATTTCAGCAGTAGAAACATTAGAGGCGTTATGGATTTTCAAAGAAGTTCTAAAAAGTGAAGGGTACTAGGTCGCAGTGGCCATTCAACATGAGATATACATATACCGACGTGAGTGTTTTCAAACGCTGATTTCAAGTATGTGTTCCAAATCTGCGAAACGATTCTGGCACATATTTATGAGCTCTTCTCTACCCGGGTGTTGCATTTATTCGTGAGCCGAGCATTTCCGGGCTTGCAGCGATGGCCGAGTTGTGAGGACGAATGACTGGTAAGCGCGACACGGAGTTTCGAATCCTTGGTGCATTTGCTTGCTTTGCTTTTTTATAAGAAGTGCCCTAAACGCTTGCAAAACACAGTTCCGCATCACATAGACCACTGACAGCCCTTCTTCATATTTACGGAGCACCAGAAATGATGATACAAGCGAAATTTTTGTCGCCTCCACAGACCAAATAGGGGTCACATAGAACTCCTCTGCTCCAGGCACTTAAGATGTGGTCACGAAACTCAGCAGATCCATGCAATTTCGACAGATAGCGGCCGGCAACTCGTCAGACCATAGCGCTTTTGGATAAGTAGTGCCTTCTCTAGAAAGTGATATAAGTGAACTGGTACAATTCAGCTGACATTTTTATGAAAAAGTGCTGTCGAAATAATAGATGAGCATTTTATAAACCGATGCGGTAATACAACACAAAGTGCTTCAGAAAGAAAAGCTTCTCACAATGAGAAGGTATGAAAAAGAGTTCATCACACCCATCACTCTTACAGTTCCAGCTTGGATGAGACGAGAAACAGTATTGGACAGGAGTTTCGAATTTTCCCGGGTCTGCAACTAGATACCCTGCTGCAAACCATGAATGAAAAGGGACTCTTTGAATATAGGCGCGTTGAATAAGAAGTACACTGGGGAGATAAGGCGAATTATGGAGTTGCAGTTGCTAACGTGGAAGTCCAGATCATGAGAAATTACGAAAGAGGCAATACACTTATACATGGCTTTGAATGGTAAGAAAAAGTATACATCGAGGGGATGATTTTGGGAGGTTAGCCCAGGTGGAAAGCTGAGCACTTTCACCTCCTTGCCAATCCAGCATATGTTCTTTGCTTATCATGTGGGTTGTACTGGCCCTGATCTCCAGTTCGAACTGGGAAACAAATGCGATACCACTTTTGGGCAGAACATATTGCTGGTAATATATTGGGAGCACTTTGGTCGATTGAATGTTTTGATCGTGAGTTGCTGTCGAATCCTCCAGATCTTGCTCAAAATTTCGCAATTCTATTTTGAGCAAAGCTTTCACAGTTCTTCCCTGCGGGACTTATAGTGCACCTGTATTCCTTCCGTGTATTAGCAATTTTGGTGCTAGGTAAATATGAACGAGGGCTGTAAGTGGTCTATACGGTGCAGGTCTATGAAGGGTAAATGTATATTGCAAGCGTTTAGGACACTTTTTATAAAAAAGCAAAACAAGGAAATGCAGACACCGTGTCCGCGTCGCACCCTACCAGTCCATCGTTCTCCCAGCTCTCCCGTTGCATCTTCAGATTGCGCGGGTTGCATATAAAACAGCACCTGGGGAAGAAAGGGTTCATAACTTTGTTCCCGACCGTTTCGCAGATCTGGAACCCAGATTTAACACGTTGACACGATAGCGTTTTTCGTTTGCGCGCTCACGGGACGAGACCGTTTGAAGGCGCTGACTAATCGTCGGTTACCATTGGCGAAACCAGCGATCGGTATACATCTCACCTTGATGGCTACTGCGACCTAGTATCTTTCCCTTGAAAAATGAACGGTGGAGTAGCCCGTCCATAACCGACAATCTTTTGCCTTATATTCCGCATTGTGACTTGTGACTCAGTAGTATTATAACTTGATCTTCCTTATCACAGATGTAAAGAAGGCAGGGAGACGACTCATTTGCTACCGACAGTCGCCTGTGGCGTCTGCAAATTGTTATCCACTTGAGTAGTGGAACCTTGGTAAGTTATGCGTCGAATTGTGGGTTTCAAATTCGTCGTCTTTCGGCCGCCAGAGGGGTAGTGCGTGATAGCGATGAAGCATTAGGCCGTCAATTCATTTCGTCAATTCGTCGATTCATCCGCTGTCAATTCCACCTAAAGACCTAGCAAAGCGCAAGAATGCTCTGGTCACAACAGCTAGCCGTGGTTTAGGCCGGAAAAATTCCTGTGCCTATTCGAGATTACTGTGTTACCTGGGGGAAACTGAATTCGGTGTGGAAATCTTCTGTTCTTTCAGGACGAATGAACCTCTGGAGAAGTATGATGTAATTAGCGAAGAAAGAGAAGTCAAATGCTCATTGTAGGTAGGAAGCGCACAAAAATATGAAGTCAACAAACCACAAGTTTATGATAGGCTTCCCTGACAGCTTGGCTGTTTTGCTGATAGTCGATTAGAGCTAGGAAAGAGCAGAAGCCAAACACCCACGCTAGTAGCCTAGTGTATAGTAGAGTATCAAGACTATGTGGCCGCTGGAGAAATACTGAGTAACGTAAAATTGTACTAAAATAGCGATTCAAAACAAGAATTCGTGGTGAGTGAGCAAGGCTCCAACTTGAATGGATGGATTTTTCACGGAGAATACAGCGTTACCACTTATTTGTAAGCGTTGTGATCAAGTTGGTATTTACTGCGAACAGCTTCGTACTTTTCGTGTTTAATTTGGTACATATTGCAACCACCTCCGTAGTTTTCCCATTTTATTTTGTAGATTTCACTATCGGTTTCGCACTTGTAAACCCCATTTAGTAAATTTTGCAATCAATTTCATGAATGTTGCATTCAAATTCGTAGAGTCAATAGTGTATTCGCCGCGACATTTTGGCTGGACACAAACACTCTCTGCCGCTTTCAGTGCCTATATTGGGTTTGCTGCTACATGTAAAATGATCACGCCAAAAAAAGCAACGCGCACAGTCCGAGGAAAATACAGTGTAGTTGCTGATGTCAAGCAACAAAAAATCATTGATACATATCTCTCCGGACAGAATACACCAGTGATGATCGCCACCCATGAGCGTTGAGCGAACAACCGTCGACTTAATAATCAAGATTTATAGAGCAGAGGTCGTATTCCATCTAAGAGCTGTGGCGGAAATATAGGTCACAAGCTCACAGAGGACCAAAAACCAGTCATCAGAAGCTGGTTAGACGACGACTGCAGCATCATCCTTTCCATTATTGAGGTAAAGTATATGTCTGCAAAGGGATTCGATCTTTTCTGCCTCGAAGAGAAGTGTATGCCTACAAAAGGAGCCGATCCCCTCAGTCTCAATAGAGAGAGAGAGCGCTAGAGGCATTTTTCTGCGCCGTCATACGTGTTCAACTTCAACCGAACCGGCGCAACGACGTAGAGACTATCGGAGCAGGGTATGAGTACACTCACTAACTCNACTGCAGCATCATCCTTTCCATTATTGAGGTAAAGTATATGTCTGTAAAGGGATTCGATCTTTTCTGCCTCGAAGAGAAGTGTATGCCTACAAAGGAGTCGATCCCCTCAGTCTCAATAGAGAGAGAGAGCGCTAAAGGCATTTTCCTGCGCCCTCTCTCTCTATTCTCTTTTCGCTGTGTTCAACTTCAACCAAACCGGCGCAACGACGTAGAGACTATCGGAGCAGGGTATGAGTACACTCACTAACTCGTAAAATTCTTTACTGAGATCGCTGAGACACACACCTTCTACATCGGCGAAATTGGGTTCTGCGTTGCCATGCCCCAAGACGAGGCAGAATGCCACTAAGAGCGTTACCAGTGCAAGTAGCCCTAATGCTCCGAACGAGTAACTCTTCATCATGTACCATGAACAGTCACAACGTGATTCACTATGCGTCGATAGCAGGCGCCTTCAACACAGAACTTTTTTGAAAAGTAAGGTAGAAGCGCTGTCATGGATGGACAATATTCAATTTAAGCTCTGGAAACTAGGGTTCGGATTGAGAACCGAGGTCACCGTGTTCTGTTTCTAACTATTATACTTTCTATAATTTTCAATTTTGGAACCCACTAGAACAAAACTCATTCAGAATATTTTTTCAAGACAGATGTGCAAAGCGCGAAACCGCAGAGTCGCGATTGCTGGCTTTGATAGGGCAAAAAGTAAGTGGTATCCAGCGACATTCTAGAGGAACATGATGAGGTACAGCAGACGTGGTTTGAGCCGCGAAGGGATCATTGATCGATAATATTGACAGTGATAATACTTTGCTGAAATCTTTTATCTAATTATCTGCTAGATGGAGCTGTCGACATATTCAAATACGCGATTAGGATAAAAAAATGAAAATAAAATGAAGAGATGTGAGGTAGGTTAGCAAGATCAGACTGTCGCTTTGTTTTGGGTCTCAGTTTCTTGGCTAAAATGTAACCCCCTCACGACGGGAAAGCACTTTTCAAAAAAGCGTTTCCGCGACGCAACAAGATTAAAATCCTTTGCATTTGCCTTCCGAAGAGCTTATCTCCCGCCCCCTCCCCCTAGCACTACCTCGGCTGACACGCCGGCTCGCCGGCGGACTATGAAAGCAACCGCTGAGCGGCTGTATTTTGAGCCAAAAGTTTTGCTTGATGAATGCTGGCAAAAGATATAGTCAGTACGTCTGTGTTACGACTTCAAGCGAGGAAAATCAGTTGCAAAATCCCATCGTATCATGCCGAGAACACTCGGCAGTGATATGCCATTCTTGAGGTAATGCCAGAGATGGTTTCAGCGCCTACGAGATGGAAATGGCAGTCTTGAGAAAGAGGAGCGAGTAAATCAATTTGAGACTGTGGGTAAGGGAGCATTGAAGCTCGTCATTGAGTCGGATGCTCCATTAACTACACGCGATCTTGCACAGAGGTTTGAGTGCTCACAGTACCATCGAGTCGAATTTGCATGCGATTGAAAAGTCAAGTCAGTGCGATAAGTGGGCTACTCATCAACTGAGCAATGGGAACAAAGCAACTCGCCTTAGTACGGCCGGGATTTTGCTCCTCTATTCGAAGAGCAATAGATTTTGCAGCTCCATCCTTACGTCGAATGAGATGTGGATACTCTTCAATAACAGAGTTAAGGAACTGCAATGGCTGTAAGCCGGGTTAGCGGCCGCGAGCGACTTCTAAACCAGATACTAACGGAAAGAAGGTCATGCCGTGTGTATGGTGGAATAATACGGAACTAGGGTATTTCGAAGTGCTGGAGTTAGACAGTTACAGCTTACATATAGGCAAAACAGGTTACGTACGTGAACCAAGCGCTCCGTAGTCAAGGGACCAAATCGGCCAATGTAAATCTTAGCATGATAATGCAAAACCGCATGTTGCGAACATCACGCAACAACAAATCGAGGAGTTGGGCTGGAAGGTACGGCCTAAGGTGCGACCAAGATCTGGCGCCACCCTACAATAACTTGTCCAGGTTCATGCAACACTCCTTAGCAGGAAAAAATTCAACAACCGCGAGTTTCCAATTCGAGTGTCCAACTCCTCCCGTTCAAATCCGAGATTCACTAAAAGAGGGCATTCATACTTCGCGAATCAAGTAAAGAAAAGTCACTGATAATACTTTGCGTATCATATGGAAGGAGCCATTGAAAAAAGAAGATACTTCAGATTGATGTGCTTCGATACTAATATTGTAATGAAATGAATAGTTGACATTTGACAGTCAATCTCGGCAACCTAATATATTTACAAAGACCTAGAGAAAGTCTTTGTTCAAGTTTCCGAGATTGGATGCAACATTCACGAGATTGACTGCAGAATGACTACGTCAGGAAATTAATCGAGGATGGTTCAGGATAAAACAGTAGCTGCGTAGGTCAATTTGTTGGATGATCTCGTATGGATAAAATTGTCATTCATGATGGAGTGTAATTTGACAGGGAGGCACAAATTCCGCGCAGTGAAATCTAATTAATCAGCATTCGGAATCTCGTTTTGTTGTTACCCAAGGAATACTGTGTCCTACCCCATGTGATACACATGTAAAAAGACAGTGATTACTATCTGGAAAGAACTCCAAGAGTAGTTTTTTGTGCAAATACTGCACGGCCTCAGTGCCAGTCTCTTGGTTCATTCGTAGAGGATCAAGCCTCTCATGCGATCCATGTCTTTCGCAAAAAAAATCGACCCCCTCCCCATCGTGTTGGTCAACCTTGGTATCATATTGTTTACTTCTTTGAGTTAATTCCAGCCGGATGAGTTGTCCACAAATTTTGCAAATGATCCCCTGAATATTTGAGCTTTCACAACATGAGTTGCACTCGTATTTTGAAGCCGATGCAAAGCTAAGAGGCACGCTGATGAATCTCGTTAGATAGCACTACAATATGCTACTCTACATTATCCTACAGTCGTTTTAGGAAATACGTAGACGTAGTCTCAATCCGATTGACTTCGATGCTGCAAGCTATGCCGAGATGCCCACTGTTGAGCTAAGTAACGGCAAGCGGATAACTGAACTAAAACATCCGGACTGGTTGATGAGGAGTTCGTTTTATCGTCCTGAGAAAATGAAAACATAATCGATCGAGGAATCGCGACACTCTTTCACAATCATTCCTTGTTTTTATTTGTGTGTACTGTAGTAGTAGTTTGCTGAAAGCCCAATTACTTTGCTTAAATTGTCGTCCACAACCCTAGTGAACACAATATTTTCTTTTTTCCTACTTCCCCATCTTAATAGGTTGTTGTTTTCCAATGACTCAAGAAATTCAGTTCCCACTCAATAAACATTCCTTATTTGCTTACACTAACAAAAAGGATTACTTCCAAGACGTAGTTTCGGTTTGTGTCGGTGCTATCTCCAAAGCTGGACTGAAACTTTGAAAAGGAGGAGGACCTGTAACACTATAAAATAAGGCACTACAGTGGGTAAGCTCCTGTTCAAGCTTTATGAAGCCTTCGTAACAAGCTGAAATAATCATGACGAAAAAAATTTCCTAGTATATATCGTTCTGCTGATTATGTGATCCCAACCCATTCCATATGCTCACTCGATAGGGCGCAGTTGCTTCAAAGTTATAATACTTAAAAATTCCCTCCTATGTGTTCGTATTCCTATCCAATGATTTCGGCCCTCTTCGATCAATAGCCGGAGCAAATGAATGCTTCATATAAGTGCAACCTTCCTGGATAATGTATGTACACTAGCTTTGTAATTCGCATCATTACCCTGAATCTACAGGGAGCTAGAGGCCGAATTTCCGAATATCACTATCCAATCTACAAGCTCTTCTTACTGTTGCCCATTCTTCATCTGCACCCAAGGTATTCTTTGATATATTTCTCTCTCGTCTGAGACTGGAGATTGTATACGGAGTGGGTTCGAATTTCTCGATTACGGTCCCAAGAAAGAATTCAGTATAAATTGAAGAAAGAGATTCCGGTAAAAAATGATAGGAGGAGTGGGGGGGGGGGGGGGGGGGGGGGGGGTG